CCATTCCACAGTTATGCTAGGGCACCCTTCTAAGAGACTCACTCCCAGGACAGCAAAACGGTCACTTTAAAAAGCTTGTTGAGACCAGGCATGGTGGGCCATGCCTGCAATCCCAGCACTTTGGGAGGCCAAGGTGAGAGGATTGCCTGAGCCCAGGAGTCCAAGACCAGCCTGGGCAATATAGCCAGACCTCATCTCTACAAAAAAAAAAAAATCAAAAAATTAGCCAGGCATGGTGGCACGTGCCTGTAGTCCCAGCTACTTGGGAGGCTGAGGTGGAAGGACTGCCTCAGCCCAGGAGGTTGAGCCTGCAGTGAGCCATGATTAAGCCACTGCACTCCAGCCTGGGTGACACAGTGAGACCCTGACTAAAAAAAAAAAAACTTGCTGAGCAACCGAAGACCCGTGGGGAATGCACAAGAGTGTGAGACCTTCCCAGTCCCAGCGCCTACGGTCAGATGGGACAAGGAAATCAACACGTTTCAACCAGCTTAACGGCATGACTGCTCCCAGAGCCTGACTCTCAATGAGACCCACCTGAAGCAAAGCCGCAAATGCGCCAAAGCAGTGGGAGCCCAGGCTGGCTCAGGGCTGAGACTAACAGCTGGCTTGTCCACTGCTCCCCAAAAACAGCAGAGCAGACTGGGGTGGGGAGCAACCCTGCACGCCAAGAGCAGGCAGGGAACAACACACACTCATGCACAGGGGCTCTGCCTCATGGAGCTCCTCATGGTCGAGGCTCCTCGTGAAGGGCCCTATTCCACCAGCTCGAGCTGGTGTCTCATGCGAGTTCACTCCAGAGCGGATAGGGCACAACTCGCAGAAGCCAGCAGGGCGGTTCAAAAGTGTGTTCAAGAGGTGCTACTGCAGCTTACACTCCGGTGTCCCAGGGAGTCCCTTGGTCTCTCCCAGCTTTTAACCCATGTCACTGAAATGGACATCACAGCATCTCCCGAGGGCCAAAATGGACAATGAAGACAGAGATGCCTTGGAGGAGGAGCTGCTGTGGCAGCTGGCAGGCAGAGACGTGACCGCGGGCCCTCCTGAGGGAGGTGGGGCCCCCAGGCCACAGAGGGCAGCTGGAGGAGGCGATGGGCACCATGCGCCCGGTGAGCCCACCCCTGCTTGTCACGGTCTACCCCTTGAAACATGTCTTCCCAAATGGCTCTCTCTAGGTCTTTTCTTGCTGATCTTTTCCATCCTTCTTGCCCATGACTGGATGCACTGAACACTACCGCTGCTCCAAGCACTGGGAAGCCAAGCACAGAAGGCTCCCTCCGCCCTCATTAGACATGCAGCTCCAGGACCTGCGGCCTCTGCCCCCTCAAGCACAGCCTCCCTCACTCCATCCTGGGGCCTCGGTGCAGGTGGCTCTCTGGGCCCTTCCCACAGACTCTGGCTTTGCTTCCCAAGCACACCTTGGTGTTGCCACCAGAACCTGGAACTGACTGGGCCACATGTGCCACCTCCCTTCAGTGATCCTGATCAGAACCGAAGAGGCACCCTGGGTGATAGGTCATGCCAGCACGCAGAGAGCCTGTCAGCGGACAGCCCTGGTTGGGTGGGAGTGGAGGTGGGGGACGCTCAGAGCCAAAAGGTGGCTGGGAGACCCACCGTCCCTGCAGGCCAGCACCAAGACTGTCCACAGAGAAGCCAGAGGATGTGGGGGTTGCAAGCAACAGGGGGAGCAGGCCAGGGGCCCTCCTGGAACATTGAGGCCCAAGTCGACAGAACAGAAAGGCAGGGGCACGAGCAAAGGTCTTCACCTCTCCTTTCTCAGCAAAGAAGAAAAGCAAGAGCCCGCAGACATAAAGCTGACCCGCTGCTGCAAAGCATGCTGTGTTTCTATTTTCTACTCAGATTGCAAATGGCAATTGTGGGATGACGAGGATCTTCTGATACTTAATTTGAAAAAAAATATGCCTCAAAAAAAATGATGGCATAGGCCCATGCAAATACGGCACAAGAAAGTCTTAACCAGCAACAGGATGCAGCGCAAAGAAACCAGACCCTCTAGAAACTGATAGCTGTGCTGTTGATGTGGCCTCACAGACCAGCCCTGGCAGAGGAGCAAGCACAGCAGCCGTCCTCTGAGGGGGAGGCTGCCTCCCGGAAGCTGTCCACTGACTTAGAAAGCAGTCCACCATGAGAAGTACCAGCACAGTCACCTCAGAAGCAGAACACGCGGAAGTGGCATGTCGCCTGAACACAGCAAAGCGGAGTGGGGTCGGGGCCCAGGAGGACTTGGGTCAGGGAGCAGTGGGCAGGAGAGGGAGGGAGGGCTGCTCGCTGCTGCACTGCAGGGTTGCGAGTCATTGGCACATAACCATTCTTAAACAACACTCAGCCAGTGGGGTACAAGTTAATTCCAGGCTGATGTGAAGACAGCGACCCTCCATGTATCTCCAAGTTCTCCTCCTCAGGTTGACAGCCTTCAGACTTCCCTAGACACCAGGAAGGCACTTTGGGCCACCAAGTCTTATGAATCCCACACGAGTTCACCCCCCAGACTGGCAAAGACCGTCTGTCGCGGGGGCTTTGCCACTGCTGTGCCACCAGACAGATCCCGGATTCACATGCATTTCCTCCCATAGACCTAGGCACGGATGGCAAGAGACGGGGCCATGTGCCCAAGCAAGCTTCCTGCAGCCCCAGTAGCCACGCGAGGTAAGTGGGGTATTGCTGCCTTTAGAAACATGGCTTGGTTTCACAAAGATCTGGCCAACCCACAAGACAAAGACACTGTGAGCCGGGTAACACCACGGGAACAAGAACTGGCCGACGATAAAACAAAAGCAGAATTCCCACATGGAAAACAAGAAAGGATTAACTCGATAGACTTGACAGGAAGAGGCGGCTTCACAGGAACACACATTGTTTGTTTAAATCGGAAAGCAGTATCCTCTAAAGAAGACGGTGCCAGGCAGGGAGGTCCCGCAGCACTGTAAGTATAAGCTCTGGCCACCACTTGGGCTCGGACTCTGAATTGTGCCACAAACATGATGCTAGTGAGAGGAAAGACCAACGAGTTACACATGCTCACTCATCACCCTTGAAGGGTCATGGGGCAGCCTCACCTGTTCTGTACAGAGACTGCTCAGAGAAAAGTTGGGTAGTGCACAAACAGCCCCCAATGAGGTGGAAGGAAGGATGACAGAGTGAACAGGCCCACAAGGCAGCAGGAAAGGGAAGAAGGAGCGGCGTGTAGGACGTCCCCCCAGAGGACACAGACAGAGCTTCCTCCGATGCCAGTCAGTCCCTCCTGAGTCTAGCCTGGGTCTGGTGCTCATGCACCCGCTACGCCCACTGACAAGGTTGGTATCTCTACCCGCATGGCAGAGTTGGGAGTGTTCTGTCCACAACCCTAACATTAGCATTACACGCAAAGCGTACAAACCCCTGGAGGCAGCTTTAGGACTCCAAGTAGATTTTGTTTAGGAATAGAGACAGAAACAAAGACACATGAAGGTAACACACCCTACTGTCCTCACATGTTAGAGTCCAGCAGCATCATAGCTATGGTGGAACGCCACCCAGCACACATGTAGACCACTCGGCCATAAACACAGAGAGATGGACTCCTGCCTGGGTGCTGGCCCCACTGCTGTGAGAACCGTGAGAGAGACGGCAAGGACCCAGCTTCTGCTGGGTGGGCACAGTCTCATCACCATTGCCTTGTCACTGCAGCCTTACCACCATGGCCCCCTCACTGCAGCCTAGTGGCCACAGCCTCATCGCTATGGCCCCATCACCACAGTCTCACTGCCATGACCTCATCACTGCAGCCTCACCTCCACAGTATGGTCACTGCAACAGTCTGGTCACTGCAGCCTTGTCACTACAGGCTCATCACTATGGCCTCATCACCATGGTCTCTCCGCCACGGACTAGTCACTGCAGCCTCATCATCACAGTGGCATGAGCACAGAAGAAACAACTGTGGATTTCCTTTGATGCCGCATGTCTCTGGCTCTGTTCCAAAGCAGCAACTCTTATGTTTGTAGACTAGCAATGCTGTGGGACTATCTGATGAAAACCCCATCAGTATTTTAAGATGAAACTTTCAAATGAAGAAACTCTGATTTAAACCAGTCCTTGAGGGTCTGCAGCCTTTGCCCACGGCGCCTCCCAGGGTCAAGAGAAAACCCGAGTGATGCCTATGCCCTTGGCCCCTCATCTGTGAAGCGTCTGGTGTCAGTGGTACCTGGCGTCATGGGCAGATGTCACCAGGGCCCTGGATGTCACCACAAGAATGCACACAGACCTCTCGAAGAACATGAACTTGGTTGTGAAAAATAACGAGCATGGTGTCTTGATGTTACGTGAGTTGTGTGTAGCTCTCACTGCCAATATCCAAGCTGCGTTTCATAAAAAAGGCAGATCACTTAGATGCTCTTGAACCACGACCCGGAAGTGCTAACAGTCTCTTCATGGAAACCATTCACAGAAGGAAACCCGAGCCCTCAAGACCACCAGATGCTCCACTAGACCCTGGACAGCAAGGCCCTCGCTTTGAGCCCTACAGACAAGCCGACTCAAAAGCACCATGTCCGTCTCCCAGCCTGACTCCAGGTAGAAATGTCATTTTTTTTCTTAAAGACAACTCATGCCAAGTGTGTTCAATGAATGTCATTCTTTTTGACTCAGTTTAGGAATCAGGCAAGTGGTGTAAGCCTTTCAGCAGGACACAGAGCAAACCATCCTTCTCCTAACAGACACGGAGCAAACCATCCTTCCCCACACACATGTGATACTCATGGAAAACAGTGCTGAGCTCAGAGAGTTCCCAATGTCAGGTAAACACTGCCATGAATCCCCCCGAAAGCTAGTGCAGCCCAGAGCCCGCCCTCCTCCTCCTCCTCTTCCCGGCATCCGTGTGGCCACTGAGAAAAACTCATCTCTCTGGGGCTCACAGTTCCCTCCCAAGAGCCACCAACCATAGCGGGGCAACCCCCACCCTTGAGAAAGGCCAGGCATGGATGAGGACAGGGGCCACCCACCTGACCGTCCTGTCCGACGTGATGGATCTGGAGATTGCCCTGCAGAGGGAAGAAGGGGAAATGTCAAGAACAGAGACACTAGCACATTTGCACACAGAACAAGAACACACCTGCCATCTGGGACCACGCAGAAAACACTTATGCCACACAGATCTGCCTCTGGTAGTAATAGAAGCCCCACACAAAATATTTAAGAGGAGTTGTATTATTTTTTCTTGTAAAGACTAACAAACAAAACAACTCAAAAAAGCACTGTACCTATTCCCCCCCACCCTGACTCCAAATGAATATGCCTTTTTTTTTTTTTTTTTTGGCTTTATTTTGAAACAAAGTTCAACTCACAAGAAATACAAGAAGTAGCAGTGAGGCCTACCCACCTTCCCCCACAAAACATCTTACATGACCATACGACCTAATCACAACCGACAAAGCTCCTAAGGTATCAGCAGGTGGAAATTCATTTTCTTTTCTTTTTTTTTGGAGGGGGGTTTTAAAAAATGTTTGAGACAGATCTTGCCATATTTCCCAGGCTGGTCTTGAACACCTTGCCTCAAATTATCCTCCCACCTTGGCTTCCCAAAGCACTGGGATTACAGGTGTGAGCCAGCCCGCCTGGCCAAAACTCCATTTTCCTTTACTCTAAAAAAGGATTGTTTTAAGTCTGGTAGATCTGTTAAGCGTCTCCTTGCAGATATACTTGCTCTAACTAAATACTTAACTTTAAACAAACAAGGTGTGAATTTGTTGTGATAAGAAGACTGCATACTGTAACTTATCACAATATTGTATTAACATAATCAGTAATTTCTTATTTATTGTACTCAATTCCTAATGAAAACAGAAAAGACTGAATTATATATACCAAATGAATTCTGTTTTGCAAACCGAAGAAGATGGCAAAATAATAAATTAAAATTTAAGAAGTAATCTAAAGCCTTTTTAGCATAAACAAGAAAAAGTAAACATGGGCTGGTCTTCCTTTTCCCACGTTATTAATTTCCTTCATTTCAAATGATTACAGCAAGTCAAGCAAGCTAGCCAAATGTGCACGCCTTCTGGAGTGTCCCAGAATCTTGGCGAGGCCTCCAGGGTTGCTCTGTTCCCCGGCTCAGCTGTCCGTGCCTCGAAAACCAGCCCTTCCCCCGCCCCTCCATGCACACCTGCACTGGCCCTTGCCCACCGCCGCATCCCCAACTCCCTCACCACCCCCACAAGGCCCTCCCTCCCTGCGGCCACTGTGCTCTGCTCGCGCTTGCTCCTGCTCCTATGCTTCCATCCACCCCTTCGCCTGGCACGTCAGTGACCTGACTCTGCCCATGAGTGTCTGAGTCCCTCACTGACCAACTGCCCCCGTCCCACATGACCCCACAACAGCCTCACTCCCTCAGAACCCTTGCCTACGTGCACCCTTTTAGAACACGCTGGTAACTTCTGATGTCCAAAGCCTGCCAGATCCAAATTAAAGTCACCACCATCAGATACAGTCCCCCATATCCCATTCTTCTCATCCCACAGCGTGCACATGCCCTCACCTGCCTAATGGTCACTTTGGCTTGACCTCCTGGGCACTCCATAAGCCCCTGAAGGCTGGGCCTCTAGTTCCTCGGCTGCCCACAGCACCCACATCCCACAGGTGCTTCAGGGAGGGCCCGCATGTGGCAGCAAGCCCTGCCCCAGCTCCCCCCTGTGCCTCCCTCCATACCTGCCCCCATACCTGCACCTGGACTTCCTGGGCACCACTGGGCCCCATCTGTGTCCACACTGAGAAGGTGAGAACCTGAGACCCTTGTGACAACACTATCGTGCAAGCCATGCCCAGACTGGTGCCACTGTCACGGCCTAGAGACGGGCACACTCCACCCCCCAGCATACCACAGTCACAATACATGTGCTCTGCTCAGCGGCCAGGGACACGATCCAGTGAAGCCACGTGCACTATATCCATTGCCACCTGCATCTAGGAAACAGTAGGGAGGCCCTTCAACAGATGGCCACCAGTCACCCAGGAGGAGACAGTCCTGCCGAGGGCTTGTGGACCAGCAAGCCAGGCACATGACAAAGAAGGACGTGGCCAGCAGGCCTCAACAATCCAGCTCAGACTACCACCCCGACCCTCACATACCAGGTCCCTACAGCTGATGGGCTCATGCTCCTGAACGTGTGACCGAGCCTGGCCGCCAACAGTGCCATGATTGGAACGTGGCACACATGTGTCAGCAGTATGTGTGCACTTGGAAAGGCCTCCCTACACTGTCTTTATCACTGACTAACATTGACAAGAGAACAACATCCTGACACCAGATGCCTAGATCTCACGACCTTGAGACGGTGTGCCAAAGACCGAGATGTGCTCCCAGGACGACTCCCCACCACCCCATGAAGTGGGCACCATCCTTGGGCTGAAGGGGAGGCCAGCGTCAGAGGTGAAGAAAGCGTGTAGGCCACCATGTGTGACGACACAGCTCCACCATGCTGGGCTCATCCCTAGCCAAGAAGGGCAAGGCCGGATGGGGAGACAAGGTGCTCAGGGCACGCTCCAGCCAACAGAGAAACCCTCAACACAGAAGGTCTTCACAGGGACAGGCCAGGGGCTGTGGAGATGTAGGCCACAAACGCTACAGGCCTGCCACAAACGCTACAGGCCTGCCGCCTGTGCCCAGGAGGGGTAGGTCTGTGGCTGCAGGCTGCATTCACATCCTCTTGAGACTCCTGGCTGCCTGCCACATGGGGACAGGTGAGCCCGGAAGTAGACCACGGCTGTGAGGGCAACTCACCTCGCTGTCCTGCGTGATCTGCACCTGCTCCCCCTGAGGCACCTGGGCGATGTGGAGGTGGCCCTGTGGGATCCGCAGCAAGAAAAGACACCAAGAAGCATCAGAAGAAAATCACAACCAGAAGAAGCAACAGCCGTTTTCCGGAACATTCTCTACCATCTGCTCACAATTCAAATAAAGACAACCAAACCCTGAAGAGCATGTGGGTGATGTAAGCTTGTTAAGCTACAGCAATAAACCAACCTCTTAGGACACAGCAGTCCCTCTTGAATCCTAGGGGATACGTCCCAAGAAACCCCTAGTGGATGCCAGAAACTGTGGACAGACCCGGCCCTGGGAAACCATGCTTCTTCTTAGATATCCCCACTTACAGCTGGGCATGCTGGACATGCTGGGCAACAGCGGACTCTCATCCCAGGCAGGACAATGAGAGGCCTCAGGTGACTCAGAACAACACAAATTTAAAACATGAACATGAATTGTTTTTGAGTCAGAGTCTCACTGTCACCCAGGCTGGAATACAGGGCCATGCTCACAGTCACCACAGCCTCGACCTGTTGGGCTCAGGCGATCAATCCTTCTGCCTCAGCCTTCCAAGTAGCTAGAACTACAAGCACGCGCCACCAAGCCTGGCTAATTTTTGTATTTATTTATTGTAGAGATGAGGTCTTGCCAAGTTGCCCAGACTGGTCTTGAACCTGTGGACTCAGGCAATCCTCTCACCTCGGCCTCTCAAAGTGCTGGGATTATAGGCATGAGCAACCATGCATGGCCAACATGAATTATTTATTTCTGGAATTTTCCATTTAATATTTTTGGACCATGGTTTACTGCAGTAACTAAAACCTTGGGCAATGAAACCACAGATAAGAGGAGCCACTGTGTACCATATACAGAACATTTTTCAGTACCTCTTAAATGAGCAACAGCCCTCTGTAAACACGTGTTAAGTCTTTAAATGTCCCTAAACAGGCAAACTTAAGAACATGTTTGATATATAGAAAAAGGAGGAACAGAAAATTAGAATGACAATGTTTTCTTGATTCTCCTTTCACTCTGGAGAGACTAGAAACCTGATGAAAACACCAGGGAGAGTCCTCTAGCTCTCAGGAACATGAGAAAGGCCACACAGCAGTGTGTGACTTGGGGCAAGGGCACATACGTGTGTCTACACTGACAACAGGTCAGGCAGCTTTTTTAAAATCAAAGAAACACTCATGACTATTTAAACAGTTTGAGTAAAACACTCATAAATGTGGTTCCAAAAAAAATCAAAGAATCCAACTAAAATGTATTTATGTTTATAGATACAGGCAGACAAATAGTCCTGTAAACCTTAACTTAGCTAAATGAAATGAAGAGTCATTATCTTATTTGAAATTCTATCTTATTGCTTCTCAGCATTTGGGTTAAGATCAATTATAGTATCTTAGTCAAAATGGATCTTAAAATAAACTCCCATAGACCGCTCTATGTAAACTTATGGCAAAGTTATCTATTCTGGACTTCTTTCAAAGAACTTTCTTACTAACAAGAGGAGAACAACTGCCTTTGTGAATGTCAACTTAATGAGTTTAATAAGCGTATGAAGCTCACTATTCATAACCAGCTAGTCTCTGGAAGAGGAGGGAAGCCAACGGAAGCACTGGCATCTGTGGACCACCGCTCCAGGCCACATGCTGAGGCCATGGAGTGGGAATCCCGCCTCCCTCTCATCAGGAGAGGGTCTTGTTTGCAGGAGATGCCCGAGCAATGAGAGACACTCAGTGGTCATCAAGAAGGTCTGTGCAGGTGAAAACATCAGCAAGTCCCAGGGTGCACTTAAACCTTCTAGTTCTCCAGCAAAGTCTCTCTCCCTCTCGGGCGTCCCCTACAGCTGTGTCACAGAACCCAAGCAGAGCTCTGGAGGACCCTCCTGGGGAGTTGGCTCCCAGTCCACTGCACTGACCACAGCTGGCCACAAAATTCCCCATCACAGGAGAATGCAGCGGGGGGGGGGGGGAGACATGACACAACATCCCAGGGCAGTGGCACACCTGAGACACTCCAAAAGAAGCCAGGGTGTCAAATTTTGGCCACTGACCCCCAGAGGACATCTGTCCTTAGTAAGAGGGTGCTGGTGCTTGGAACTGAGAATCCTGGCGATGCTTCCTAGGAACACAGGCAGCAGCAGGGACTCAGACAGCCCAACCTGGAGCCGCCTGCCTGCCATGCTGCACATGAGGGGATTGCATGAGCCCAAGGCTCCACATGCACTTCCAGGGCAAGGCCATGTGGTGACTGCCACAGCCATGGGATGTCAGTGTGCATAGCCATGATGCCTCTGCTGTCAGTGGGCACCTGCCCCTCCTCCCACACCCCCAGTGTCCAGGCCTCAGTGAAAGCTGGCTGTGCCCACACCAGGCCATGGCTGAGAGGGGACGTACTACTTGCACCTGGTTGTGCCTGCCCCGGCCTGCCCACAGCCCTCTCCCCACGCCCAGCTAAGTGTATGTACTACTTAGACCTAACTGTGCCTACCCCGGCCCGCCCACAGCCCCCTCATCCTCCCCGCCCCAGCTGAGGGTACGTACTACTTGCACCTGGCCGTCCTCTCCGATCTGGTGGATGTGCACCTGCTGTGCGTTGGCCAGGGTGTAGTGCAGGGCCTGCGGCTGCTGGAGCTCACTAGCAGGGGGTGACGTGCCCAGCGTCGGCTCTGTGGGGACGAGGAGTGCGCGTCAGCCACAGACAGCGCTACATAGCACTCACCCACCGCATCTCAGCCTGACACGCGATTCCCACAGAAGGGAGAGGGCGCCTCCCTCCCCAACCAGGCTGTGTGCCTCGTGTTTCTAGATGTCAGCAGCAAGCTTTGGGGGCTAAGGCTTTGGACACAGAAAGCAGAGGGTCTAAGACCAGTGGAATACCAGGATGACAGAGCCCCATCCCCACCAACTTATCTAAACAGACCAAGTCCCTCAGGATGTGGCTGCCAACAACGACAGCCAGGATTCCAGTTGGTGGTCAACCTGCTTTGAACGAGCAAGAAGTGGAGTTTGTTCACAGACACTGAAGCTACCCAGAGGAGAGGTCCAGTCTCTCGCTCCCAGAGGTGTGATGGGAATGAGGTCACTTGTTCTGATGTATCACGCATCAACCTTAATCACAATGACATCTTTATCACAGTCTCTTGGACACGCAGGACTCAGGGCTCAAAACTCAATGTACACCTACACTTTTGTTGCAGAGAATGATAATGACTGATCAATTAAAAATGTAAGCATATGCTGTTTTAACTCATTCACGACCACTGACATGAATTCGTGTCATTCCAAATTCTGTTCCTGGTTGCCACTGACGTGAATTTACATCTTTGCAAATTCTGTTTTCTGAATGCTGCACCATTGTCATATGTATGTTATATTTTGCTTGAAGTGATAGTTAGGCAAGGAGAAAGTTATTGAGACGATTATCTGATATCAACTGTGCAATGTTGTTATTGATTTCCTTAGTTTGTAAAAATTGCAAGTTGGTCATTATTTTGTTGCAATTAGTGCCATATACTTGTATTCTGATATTTCAGGGCTTTCATATTTCAGTGTTAAAAATAATTTACCATAATTATAGGAAATGAAGAAATATATACTGATGAGATTTCTGAGGTTGCAAGTGAATCCAGCAAACTTATCAATGATAGTGAGACAGACAGTGGTTTAATGATACAGTCGTGTAAACAAAGAAATAAAAACGCAGATAATCTGCAGCGGTGAATCTCATACTGGTGAAAACAAATCAGACACTGAGTGGACAAAACATGATCCAAAAGAAACTCAGAAGTGTTTGCTGGTAACCCAGTTGTCACGGTATTTCCAAATGTTCATCAAAGTATAGTGAAGTTGTCAGACTATTTATTGGAGATGATTTTATAGAAATGATTGCAATTACACTGACAGATATTAGGATCAGATGCGCCACAGAAGCCAATGTTCAAAGAAATAAAAAAAGCGGAGCCATGCTATAGTGTCTGAGATGAAAAACTCGCCAGCATTAGCTAGAGTGACGGGACATGTGAAGGAAACCGCAATACACGATGACAGGTCCACATGTTCATCAGCGTGCCACCTTTCTACTCAAAAATAATGACACGAAATAGATTCCTACTAACATTGCAGTTTTTGCATTTTTCCAGTAATACAGAAATGCAGCCAAATCCAAGCAGATTATGCAAAATTGAACCCATAATAAATTATGTTTTAAATAAGTTCAACACTGTGTACAAACCTGAACAAGAACTTTCCTTGGATGAATCCAAGCTACCTCATCGTGGAAGACTGTCTTTTCAGGTTTATAATCTGAATGAAAATACAAAGTATGGAATGCTCGTCAGAGTGGTGTCTGAGGCAAATAATGAATATGTTTGCAACTTTCAGCTGTACTGTGAAAAAGATGACCATTTAGAAAAGACCATTTCACTTGTGCTTAATGACAGAAGTTTGCAGCAACCAGTTTCAGATATTTTTTTTTTATTTTCAACCACTCTCAGTATTAGGAAAGTGAAAAATTTGCCGGTCGCGAATGTGTTAGGATGAAATTCTATGACAGAAGTAGAATGTTCATATAAGTGGAAGGAGAAAAATGAAAGATGTAAAATTTCTGATTGTTACAGAAAAGCCCTTCATGTATTTTTAAATAGCTAATAGTAGGTATCAAATTGCCATGGTATATAGATTCCACTGAATACATTTTTTAAAGTAATATAATAAAACATTAACACTTGCAGTATACTGAAAATTGTTTCCTTTTCAATTACTTCAAATTATATTTAAAAATCTTAGGTGCCAACTTTTTTAAACATCATTTTAAAAATATGCAAGGAAGAACACACTTTTTCAAACTTCATTAAAGAGGCATGTGAACAAAGTACATAAAGGCCACTTGGCTTGCTACAAGGAACCACAGAGCTAAGCATACTCCCAAATAATTTTTGCTCCAATGTTAGTAAAAATCAGCTGATTTTGACAGTTCTCAAATGGTTCAAAAATAAAACCAGGAAGAATGGCAGTCCTCAGGCTTCTTAAACACACACACACACACACACACACACACACACACACACACACACACACAGAGGACAATTTGTTGGTATGATGTAATGGTTTCCAAATCTAAGATTCAAAGTATTGAAATTACCATTTAATCAGTAACGCACTACAACTGCACAATATGAAGACCAACCTAATAACAGTATAGATTCATAATTCCATTTTTAATTTATACTGATAGCAAAGTCTAGTGCATTGGTTACTTGCTCCCAGGACAAAAGTCATGAGCTATGGCAAGCAACAAGACAAGGGCGTCCCTGACATGAGTCCAGGAGGGCCTGGGAAGGCAAACCCCAGCAAGGCAGCACTCAAGGCTTCCCTGCACCAGGGTCAGAGGCAGCTGCACATGTGTGCACAGAGGGGGCCCTTAAGGGCTGGTTTCTGCAACACTGTACCTTGGCCCCCTGCTCCAGGCCCACCTGCAGTTCAGCCCACCAGCAAGACATGTGGGAAAATCACTGACTTGTTTCAGATGACCTGAAACTCCGACACACACGGACGCAGGCAGGGATGTGCCTGTAGGCACAGGGTAGCCGACACAGGTTTCCCACAGGACAGCCTGGAGAGAACTCGGCCGGCTGAGCCCGGCACAGGTGTGCTGGCCTTTACTCCATGAAGGCAGGAGAACACCAAGACTGTACACGCACCCGGTAACTTCACAGGCTGCGTGACCTGAAGCACCCATGAGGCTGTCTAAAAGGAAGACTCGTCAGGGCCTGCTGCTGCACCGCATGTGCCAAGCGTGTCCAAGACAAGGCCGGCACACTTTCCTTGCAGGGGCAGAAAACTGTTGTGAAAGTGCTGGAGGCATAGAGCTAAATAGAAAAATGAAGTTATTTAGAGTGATAAAAAATTTTTAAAAATCTAAATAAAAGTTTACACTGTTACCATCGAAGGGAGTCCAACACAGGTGCTTCCTAAGTGGACTTCTTAGAATCCCTGGGCCCAGTGCTTCCCAGTTTGTGTTCACACTGGCATGCTCACTGGCCTTCCGCGGGCCTAGCCCTGGCTCTGAGCTTCACTCACGGCTGTTACTTGGAAGGACCTTTTCAGTCTGCTGAGAGTTTAAAGTAAACAAGACAAGCCCAGCTGGAATTCCTACCAATTCCACACTAGTCCAATTCTGGCTTAATTATGTTTAACTGGAACATTCCTGTCACCAAGACCACCCTTAAATGTCAGACTAGCTTTGTGAGGCCAAGAACAGAGGCAGACAGAACAACAGCCACATCTCTGAGCCCCTCACCAGCCACCCACCCAGCTTCCTCACTTAGGCGAGGATGGAGCATACTGAAATAGAGAACAGTGAACTTGGCCAAGGTTCACCAAGCAAAGCATTTTCAGAAGCATGAGCTCTATGCCCCCGAGACTCTCTTGACCCCTTCTCGGGTAGCCCCAGCTCCCACACTCTGCGTTCTGTTCTGAGAGCATGATAGGGGACAGGACAGCTCAGAAACCCATTCTTATTTCTTCTTAGATAAATACACACCTAAAGCCACAGGAATCCAATTATGTGGATGGCTCCTGCATGGTTTCCAAAAGCCCTACCTTGGCCTCTACCCTCACTCCGGCCTCGCCCGTGGGTTCGCTCCACCTCCAACACCCAGGCAGAGACTCACTCCAGAGTGCTAGAAAGCAGCGGGCTACATGGAAAATCAAGGAGCCCTGCCCGGCACCAAGGGGCTGCCACCAGACCAGAACCCTCCCCAGCAGTGTGAGATGCTGCTGGTCGGCATTCTCCCAAGGCCACTCAGGCTGGCTGGGGGGCTTCTCAGATATCCCCCACACAGGGACCTGCCCAGGGGCCCAGAGCCTGAAGACAGTGCACACAGGGTCTCTCCACAGCCCTCAAGAGGTGAGAACACTGAGTCCCGCAAATCTACTGGGTCTTAGGAGAACCCTGTTGTCTCTATAAATAAAGAAACAAAACAGCTGAAACACAGCTCTTGTTGCACTGAATCATTGTCATCCACTTAAAAAAACAAGTACCTGAGAAAGAAACAAAAACTAATAACAAATGTAAAAACAGGTGACAAAACCCCAGGCTGCATTAGCAGAGATGAAAGTTTGAAGCTGAGGGTGACTGGATGGCAAATGCAGAGTGGGAGGCAGACCCCCAGCTAGCGGCCCATGCCCTCATTCCACGAGTCCTGGGCAGCAGCCACATGGTCCTTGGGGGTTCCCAGTAGACTAAATCAAAATTGGGGTTGACAGTGACTCCGAGCTTGGAGAGGCCACTCTGTGCAACGTCTTTGGCCAAGAGACCCCCACCTAAATCCCTGGGGAGATGGTCCAAAGCCACCCTCCTGCAGAGGAGAGCACTGCATGTCCCACAAGGCTGCTTATTTGTCTAGAACATGCTCGGCACACTGACCACACGTCTAGCTCTGTGCTAGGCCACGTGGGCCCCAGGGGGGAGATAATGAGCCCCAGCTAGGCTGGAGTCCTTTCCCTGAGCTTGCTGTCCCCACATCGACCCACTCAGGACCTGTGAAGCCGACAAGCTCTCTAATGATGTGCCACTTGTCCAGGCATGTTATGATCTGTCAAGCCTTGTGAAGCCAGAATCGCTGACCATGCCTTCAGCCATTCCCCCAAGACAAGAATCTCAGTCCCACTGCCACCATTAATGCTGGGCCTGGGACAGTTCTCAGTGGCACCAAAACCTTACCACATAACCATGGGCTGGATGAGCCCCAAGTGGCACAACCTTGCTGACAGGGCAGACCTCCACAGCCTGGAGGATGCCTTCCAATCTGCAGAAGCCACCCCACAGGGCAGCTGACAAGCAGCTCTGGTCACACGTGTCACATAACATCTTCACCTCTGCAAATGCTTTGAGGCTACATGTTTGGCTACATAATTTCATCTCATTAAATGTATCCTTCAAGACCTCCTGGCACCCTCATGACATGGGCCAGCACAGCCAGTGGTTCCCAGGTCTGTGATGAGTGCTTCTTACTCAGTGAGGTCCCTGACAAGTCATGTGACTTGGGCTTGGACTTGCCCTGGAGAAACAGACCACCCCTTAAGGCGAGCTCAGGGACAGGCCTGGCAGGCACACCCTTGCTGGCACACCCTTGCTTTCCACCCCCATGGTTCCTCAGCAATCTTCACATCTCCTATTGCTCTCCTTGCTCTGTTCCTTCTGCCCCTTGACCCCGACTGTCATCTCATACATTTTAATGTCTAGGCCTATGAATTCCGCAGACTCTCTCTGTGGCCTGGTTTTCTGGTCACAGCGCACGTTCCCGGGCTTCTTGCTGGACGCAGTGAGTCCTACTCTGGGGGGGTCTAGGTTTTGTTGTCTTTGTAAACTGCCAGCTGTGGATCAGTGAGGGTGACCTTTCCAAGGCATCTGGAAGCTCTGCTTCACTCTGCGAGAGGTAGCCATGAGTAGACACGGCCTGCCAGCACCCCTGCACAAGGCCCTGACCAGTCGCCCAAGAGCACAATGCGGGCTGGTGGGGATCTGAACTCCGCCTAGCCCAGTGTAAGCTTAGGGACGCTCAGTTTAGGCACCTGTAGGCCAGAGTCTAGTCAGCACTCAGGGGCTCCCGCTCACAAACCCTCTCAAGAATGTGACTCCTGCCGGGCAGTTGCCCAGCCCCTCTGAGCCCCAGTCCATCTCAATGCAGGTACACGCTGTGCCCTGCCTGACCCCCCCACCAATCCAGGGTCCACGGCAGGGCCGCCTCTCCCGTCTCCTGCTCCTGGGACCCCGTGCTGCTCATCCACTGGCTCAAAACAGCTGACTCACAGATTGTCTTCCTGATTTCACTGGCAAGAATGTCCAACCTGGCTCCCGCCCTGTGTCACTACTGAATGCAGAAATCTCCTCCCCCTGAACTTGAGACAGCATTTTTTAAAACCATACAACTAATGCAGTGTTTATTGGAAATAATTTGGAAACTATAGTTAAAAAAAATAAAGAGAAAAAATAAAATGATAACCCTATGACCCAGAGATGGCCACAGTTAAAGTTGTCACATAGGTGCGATTATAGTATACCACATACCACATGCACTTCTAAAATTTCCATTATCTATTTCTAGCAAGATCTATTTCCAATGGAAACAGGATCTACCACAGCTCTGGCTTTTGTGCCTGCTCCCTGCTGCCCGGGTGCCAACATTCCAGAGCACACCCAAATTGAGAACTGTATTTCCACACTCCTTTCAGTGCCACAGGTGACTGCTCTGCTCAGCAAGTGCACACACCCTACGCCCAGGGCCCATCCTAAGACAGAACTCCTAACTGCAGCAGAAGGGCCTGGACTCCTCGCTGAGTGCTTCCTCAATGTCTCTCATAAAGCACTGCCCCAGGTGTGCCACTTGTGTGGCCCACAGCAGCACCCCCACACCAAGACCCTTGGTCACGGCCAGGGGACGGTATCCAGTAACCACCAAAACAACCAGGAGAAAACCGCTTCTTGAAGTCTGGCCCAGAAGAGTGAGAAGCCCAGAGGGCACCAGGTGAGCCGGTGTGCAACTTGCCCACACTGCCCTTGCACCTGACCCCAAGCCCATCAGAGCTCAGGTTCCCAGACCTGAGGCCCGGGGAGCTCCTGGGGGGAGCTGGAAAGGACTGCTCTAATTCAAGTATGTATACCAAGAAATGGAGATGTCTCGAGTGAAAGGCAATAGGAAGTCACATCGTCACCGCTGGTGAAAACCTTCCCAGGGAAAACAGCCTTCCAGGAAGCCCAGAGACAGCTCCAGGGGGTTCTTCCATGACCTTGTGGACACGTCTAATGGAGGCCATGAGCTCAAGATTAAAAAATGGAGTAACAGCTGAGAGCTACCCCCTTCATCACAGTCACCATGCAATACTGACACATCACGCATCAAGGCTATGACTGCATTATGGTGACTATGCCAGTGACAGCAGGAGTGGCCTGCTGGGCAGAGGGAGGACAAGGGCACTTGCTGTGGCCCTGCCCACCCTCCTTCCACCTGGGGACTACCTTCCTCAAAAAGGACTGAGACTGACAGCCCCTCCCTGGAACACACCCAAGAGCCCCACAGGTGCTCTGACCCAGGAGGAGCCCTGAACAGGTGTGACACACAGGGACAGGGAGGGCAGCGCTCCCTGAACAGCCGCATGTGTGCTCCTGCCCAGGGGAGGACACCTCCATCACAGGCTCCTCAAGGCCAGCCCCACTCTGGACTGTTCCCAGGGCTGCTGGAAGGGAGGGAGGGAGGGGAGGCCCGGATACCTGAGGCGCCATAGGAAGAAGAGGATGGTGTCCTCCGAGAGAAGCTCTTGACCGCCAGGCTCTGGCCCCGCTGCTTGCGCCGCCACGCCGTCCGGCACTTGGAGTCGATGCTCTGCTTGATGCGGTACCAGTCAGACTCCGTGATTCCGAACTTGTAGAAGAGGTGGCCTATGGGACACAGCCAGGTAAAGCGAGGTGAAGCCCTCCTCAGGAGCACGCAGAACTGAAAGCAGGCATACAGCCTCGACCCCTGACGTGAGGCCTGCCCGCACATCAGGGCCCTCCTTCTGCAAGCGGCCCAGGGTCCCAGGTTAAAAGAGAAGCGATTGGACAGCCAGGGAACATACCCAGATCAGAGGCAAACATGTCTCCCATGCTCCTTCTGGGAATGTACCTTCCAATGCCCGTGACCTGAACCCCACGCCCACTAGGGGGTTCGCCAGCTCCCAGACTCCCATCTCCTACTTCTCTCTACCTGAAGTCACACAGCGCTCAACATCCCAAATGCCTGGAGAACACAACCAAGATTGCAACAACTTCTTCAGCATCGCACATTCCTCACAGCTGCGCCCTCCGCCCCTCCCCCGCCCTTCAGCACCCCAGATCTGATACTCCTCTACCTGGTTATTGGAGCCCTAGTTACCTTCCAGCATTCAGAAGTCACTTGTTTACTGTGCTTGCTCTTTGCACCCCTCAACCACAGGAGTCTTTGTTTGTTCGCACATGGTAAATGTTTCACTATTGGCTGAATAAGCAATGGTGACACCTAGCCTAAGGTGTTCTCAGGTGTGTGTTCACCTATGTAGGTGACCGAGGCCTTTCCACCATGCCTTCTCCACTAGAACACACGCTCCTGACGGGCAGACCCTGGGCTTTCACCCCTGGGGTCCCCTGCACACCCAGCCAGATGGCCACTACCCACACCCCGTCGCAGGGCCCAAGAAAGGTTCAAGTGGTCTTGCAGTCTTTCAGTGGTCACCTGCATGCAGCCAAGTCCCCCAGGTACCTGCAGTTATTAATCGCTTCTGTTTACAGAGAGCTCTGAAACACTACTCGATAGCATGCAGCGAGGGCCCTCACCCATGATGAAACTGAGGGTCCCGGAGCTGACTCCCCACTGCAAGCCCAGTCGTATCTCACAAGACCACATCTCGCCTTCCCTATGCCAAATGGCAGTAGGAAGTATCGATCACCACGTGGGAACCATGACATTCTCCCCAGCATAGTGACTCCTCCAGCTGGCTCATGCAACTTCACTGATCAACAGGAAAATAAAGGGATGAAATTCGGAATTGAAATAACAAAAAGACTAAGTTGGAAAACTTCCTGTTTTGACTACAAAGAGCCTTGAGCTGGGACCATCTACCCAGAGTTAAATTACCACCCAAACCCTAAAAATCTGTTCCTATTGAGACCAAAATACTAGAAATAATCACAGCAGAGGAAGTGTTTGTTTTTTCAAGTACTATATTAAGTATCAAAAGTTTCTTGGGTTTTGGAAAGACACTTCTTGACTTTTTCTATGAGTACATGCTTAAGACACATTTGACTCTAAATATAATGACAACCAACACATCTCTACCCCAGGTCAAAGGAAGGAAAGACTGACAGGACCAGAAGGAACAAGCCCTCGGGAGTGTTGGCAGCATGGTTCGTCACACACGAACGCAAGTCTGGACACAAAGCAGCAACTGTGGCCTCTAATTCTCAGGTCATCTCTGCAACAACCACAGAATCATCATCCAACGAGTACTTACTGAGTGACTACTATATGCTAGGGATGCTGCCAGGTGCTGGGGGAGGCCTCACTAAGCCTGGACTAGTGATCAACCTCAGTGACAAGACACCACAGTCACAAAGGAGTCAGTCATGAAAAGTGCAGTTAAAAGGTTACAGAGACCAGATACTGACTGTGCTCCAGGAGAGCCCAACTGTCAAAATGGCAATTAAGTAGCTACAGGAGACCCCAATACTGAACATGGTTATGAAGGAGTCCACCCACAACTGTTGCCAAGACGAGCAGTCACACACACTTGAAGCATCTCCTTTGGGACGCTTGTCAGTAAAAGTAACATCTCAAACCATCTCCTGCTCCCCCAGACCTTCATACTCAGGGGAAATCTCCAAACACCCCTTGGAATGAACTGGGTTTACACAAAATTTGAAAAACTTGTTAGTAATGGAAAGGAATGTATGTGTAAAGCATGTGGGGTGTAAAATATGGGACATGAACAAAACACCAGCAGTCAAGTTCAACTGTGTGAAACTCGATTGCCAATTCAAAACCTGGACCGTACACTTTAAAGAAAACAGTCTACACTCATAGGGTTGCACACCACCCAGCCTTAACTTCTCGTAAGACATTGTGTTACATAATTCCTTCCAACAGCAACTCAAGGCCCTACTGATGGCAAGTGCCACCCTGAGGACTGCCAAGAAAAACCAACTAATGAATCAGCAGCAAAAATGTCTGCCCCACTCGAAGGGCTGCGGGTCTGGAAAGGAAAGTCTGCTGGGACCCAAATGCTGCATACACGGGTTCAGGGTCTGCCCTCCGAAAGCCGCTATTAGACACCAGCTAGGGGTGTACACCGCAGGGATCCTTGACTTCTCAGAGGGGCTCAGCCTCCTGGCCTCCATGTTGTCTGAGTCGCTGTGGTCTTGACTTTTCCAAAGTTTCCTTTATCTTTACTGACAGCCCTGAGCAAATGGAGTTAGGAGAAATCTTATGATAATGTGATCAAAAGACTACCTTGAATGTAACTGTGATTTTATACTTGCTGAAGCATTTTATCTCTTATGTCATTTGATGTACATAAAAACACCATGAAATTAGAATGTGATTACCCTCACTTGTGTTTTGAGGCAAAAGTCAGAGAAAAGAGAAGTGATTTGTTTAAGTCAAACTCCTTGTTAGGAGTGAGAACCGGCCCTAACTTTCCAGCTTCCCAGCACCCAGCGGGTAGGGTGGGGAGGCAGCTGAACCTGAAGTCCCCATAGGCTTCCTGAGAAGCCCCCACCCATGTGTCTTTGCTCCCACAGTCCCCTTGGCCCCATGAGCATGCGGGCTCCCAGCAGCAGACATGGTGGGAGTTTCAGGCAATAGTGCTACCTGTGTGAGTCTAAGACACAGGGGACAGCAGCCTCCTGGCCTCTGGCTGCTGAGCACGTGCCTCCCAGGAGCGGTGCATCCATCTCCCCTGCAGAACAAGCCACCGGTGCTGCCTCAGCCCCCGCCTCTCACAGCCTATCCCCTCATCACGGCCACCAAGCCTCCCAGGTCAGATAAGCCCTGACCGCGCTGCCCTCCCCTCTCCAGCAAGCTGTCTGGCACTGCTCCAAGGAACCACAGTCACCCGTCATGTCAGTTGCCTTCTGCTGTCCACCGCCAACTGTTGACTCTCGTGGTCCCATCGTAAACCCAGATCCTGTCTCTCGGTAAGCATGCCATAGAGGCCTTAAGAGGTTCTGTGGGAAACAGACTCAGGGAGCTGCGGGTTTCACCATCGCACACTTGGTGGGTGGCATGAGGTTTATCAGTCACAAAGGAATGAAAGGCACTACCCCTGCTAATGCATTCTCAAGTTCAAGGGGAAAGTCATGCAGAGAACCGAGTGCCAACAATTTATTTCTTGAAATTACAGACTTAATGTGATAGTGCTGCCTAGAAAAACAAAAGGCGGCTCTCACCCGTGGCCCAGGGGGAGCTGGCCAGGAGGTGCTCACAGGGCCAGTAGGACACGGCCCACACCTAGGCAGCTCCTGCATCCAGCTGCCAGGTCATGCTGGACATGTTCTCCAAGTGTGATAACCCACTGCATATGCAAAAAAAAAACAAAAACAAAAAACTATGGAGTCACACTTGCCTCAGTGTGTGACAAGAGCCCCTAATGGCCACAACCTTCCATCGTTGGGCACAGCATCCAGCCACCTGCTGAGAAGGGGCTCTGTCTGGTCTCACTCCTCCACTCTGAGCCCACACTAACCATACCTTCCTGTCTAGTCACACTGGTACTCTCAATGTCCCCTACAGACATGACAAATACCCACACCTGGCATGGCCCACGCTCTGGCCTCAAGGGCACGTGCAAAGCCCTACCACTTCACAGCCCAATGACAAGGTCCAGAAGAACTTGCATCCTGCGTACTGGGCTGAACAGTGTCCCCACAAAACTCCTGTCCTTCCCAGGCCCTCAGCATGTGACCTCTCTTGGAACCAGGGTATCTGCAGATGTGATTAATTAGGCTAGGAGGAGGCCAGCCTAGATAGTGTGGACTCCAAGTCCAACATGCCTGGCGTCCTTACAAGGAGTGGAGAGACAGAGATGGGCAGCAGGAGAAGATGCGGCATGACGAGAGGCAGGCTGGGGCAGCCCCACAGGCAAGGAGGCTGGAGGTGCCGGCAATCTAGCCGCTGGGAGAGGCAAGGGCCGCCAAGGAAGCGAGGTCCTGCCAACATCCCATCTCAGTCATCTGGCCTCCAGAACTGTAGACATCCCGTGTCGGTATGCACACTGCCATGGCAGCCACAGGAATCCGATAGGGAAGTGCCTGGCCACGGAGATAAGAGCAGGTGGAGCTGCCCCATTGTGCTCCGCTTTCTGCCAGAGAGTACCACCTGCTCTTAGCACTGGGTAATTTACAAAGAACCACTGACAGTCATCTCTGAATGTTTAACTTTTTACTTCATGCAAATGCATCCAATTTCCCCCTAACTGCAAGGTGTTCTCACTAGGACCTCGTACCCGCATCAGCACATGCAGGGACATCTTTCAAGACGCAGGGTACCCCATTCTGGTTCGTATCTTCCTTTCTGGTCATCACTGGCAAGGCCTCACTCTGCTGCACAGTTCCAGCAGAGGCCTCAGTGGTCCCTGGTAACATCCCACACTCTCAACTCAAAACAAGGACAAGTGCTCACACTCGCCGTAACTCATTCCCTGTGAAACTGCTCCATGCTTTTCTTTTTTCTGTCTTCTTTTTTTTTTTTTTGGAGTCTCACTGTCACCCAGGCTGGAGTGAAGTGGTACACTCATGGCCACCGCAGCCACGACCTGCTGGACTCAGACGATCCTTCTGCCTCAGCCTTCCAAGTAGCTGAAACTACAGATGCACACCACCACGTCCAGCTAATTTTTTTGATTTATTGTAGAGATGAGGTCTCGCCAAGTTGCCAAGGCTAGTCTCAAACTCTGGGCTCAGGAAATCCTCTCACTTCCGCCTCCCAAAGTACTGGGATTACAGGCTTGGGCCGCCACACCCCTCCACACTTTTCAAAGTCACAACAGTGCGCTACTTTTGCAGAGAGTACACACACAGGTCACCTGCCCAAATCCTGGGCCACCTATCCCTGGGAGCCCTCAGAAAGCCACTATCCTAAAAAACTAATTCTCTTTGCTCCCTCTTTCCATAAACAGCATGTGTCCCTCACTTTGAGGAGACAGTACTTAACGACATTACCTACTGTATATTTCAAAATGTGGAGTTTTTCTCTGGAAAAAAGGAAAAAAGCAGAAGGGAGAAACATAGGTCAAAATCCTCTCCCCGGTGAGTTGGCCTCAGCTGAATGAAAGCAGCAGCAGGTTTCCGACAGCTGATGCCACAGACGCCACCACGGGCCTGCAGGAACAGCAGGGCTGTCGCACGGCCATGGCTGTGTCCTCACCAACCCCTGCTTGAGCCAAAGTTCCAACATCAGCAATGAGTCCGATGGGGCCTTGAGAGAGGTAAACACTTTCAACAATTCCATCTGACAGGCAGGCAGCAGCACTTCAGTCTTCAAAAGGCGTACCTGGCCTGGAGGGCGGAGAGGAGGCCGGGCAGGAGGAGGTCAGGCTCCCATTCCACTCTCCACAGGAACTCAGTTCTGGAGGAAGGGAGCCATGCAGTGTTGCTATCTGAGGCCGACACAGGCAGCGGCACTGTCTCTGCCCACAGCTGCACTACTAGGTTTCTCTCCATTTGAAGATCACAGGAGCCAGGGTCAGCGAGGCACAGTGAAGGACCTGAGCCCCTGGTGACTGATCCAGGCATTGATGCGAACTTGGTGTGCTGCACTCCTCTCCACAAGACGCAGCCTCGCAAGAGCTGCCATGTGGCTGGCAGACCCAGGCCTGCAAGCTCTGAGCTCCCATGTGAAGAAGCCAGGCTCACGGAAGCTACCCACTTGGGGAGGCATGTGAGTAATGGAGGGGGGCCGACAGATGGGTGCTCCTTCCTGCCCCCACCATGCCCACCTGGAGTTTCACCCAAGGGCCCCAGCAAGGCAGGTACGCTGGCCTTGGCACCTGCGCTGAGTGCAGGCTGTGCTGGGCACACTGAAGGCCCTAGGACAGGAGCATCTAACCACTCTGAACACCTGTGACGGGCAGCTTTGGCTCTTAGGAATTACCGTCTCCTTCTGGGGTCTATGGACCTGTCTGCGTGGCTCTACCCACACTGACATTGCCCACCCCTCTGGATGACGGAGAATCTAAGGTACAACTCTCGCCAAGTGGGCAACATGCCCAGGCTATCGCCTCGTCACTATTCCTGCTGAAACTAAACACATAGAGTCATGGCCAGGACTCAGCATGCATGCTGCAAGTGCACAGCTTCAGTGTGACTTTAGGAGACTGGCTATGTCATGCCAAACCCCACCCCTCCTCTACAGCTCCCAACCCACTCCCTGAACAGCACTTCAGCATGTGCTAGGGACAGAGAGCCACAGGGATGGCACATGGGGCACATCCCTGCTCCAGACTTACTGAGGGTGAGCCCTGTGTCTCCATTTTCTGAGCTACTTATTCCTTCTTTATGAGTTACATGTGACAAATACAGCAGATATGTACACACTGAGTCAGGAATTTCCCAATTTTAAGAAAATCAGCCAGGCACAGGGGCTCACGCCTGTCATCCCAGCACTTTGGAAGGCTGAGGCAGGAGGATTGCTTGAGCCCAGGAGTTCAATACCAGCCTGGGCAACACAGTGAGATCCCGTCTCTACAAAGAATTTAAAAATTAGCCAGATGTGGTGGCATAAACCTGTAGTCCCAGCTACTCAGGCAACTGAGGCAGAAGGATCACCCTAAGCTCAGGAGGTGGGGGCTGCAGTGAGCCATGATCGTGCCACTGTGCTCCAGCCTGGGCAACAGACACCAACTCAAAAACAAACAAAACCCACAGGTTTCCCCTGCCTGAAATAAAAGGTGTAAGCGCACGTATGACATGATGGAACTGCAAACGTAAGGTACTGTCTCAGAGCTCTCCACACAACTCAGGGTCTCCCACAGGCTCCCACTAAAACACGCTTCAGCCTGTCCATGGGCTTCAACATGAACACAACTGTCCTTCCTGTCATCCAGAAGTCTATGGCATCAGTCACCACTATGTAGGACGGGCCACCTTCAGCAGCACATGGAGATGAAACTGAGCTTGCAAGTTTCCATGAAGCCAAGCCTTGCTTGCTTCCAGAACTCCCAGAATCTGTCCACTTCCGTCACTCCATGCTGCAACCCTGGTCTGTCCCTGGCAGCTATTCCAACCTCTCTGCTGGCCCTGTTGACAGGCCAGCTTTTCCCATGCAAAGTCACTCCAAAGGCCACCCCACCATGCTCGCCCAAGCTCTGCACTCACTGGCATCTCTGGAGCACCAGGTCCCGTGAGCACAGGTGTGGGCCTGAGGGGCGCGACCCCATCCTACAGGAGATCCAGACCTGGAGGGGGCGTATAGCAGAACTGGGTACTGGCAGGACGACCCCTGCCAGGCATAGCGCTCCCGAGCCCACCCAGTCGAGCTCCACTGGAGGAGGCAGGCAGGGCTCTGCCCACACAGAGGGAAGCTCCAGATAGCCAGATCAGCACAGTCACGGGGAAGGCCCGGCTCTCCTCCTTTTTGTCCTCCCCTCTCCTCCAGAGCGACCTAAGCACAGGTCCTGGGGAAACACCCTATGCTGAGTAACTCCTAACACCAGCATCTCCTTAATGCTAAAATGTGGGCCCCAACAGCACCCCACAGTGCACCGTCTGCCAGTCCCTCCAGCCTGCCCACACATGCAGATGCGAGGGCACTCACACCGGATGCCATAGATGGTGAGTGGGTCCAGCTGCTTCTTGCCGTGCTTGCCCTGGCCCGAGAGGTTGGACACGGCCTGCACCTCACGGTGGAAGAGGTAGTCCAGCAGCGTGAGCGCCATCTTCTCAGCGGTGCGGCAGTTGGTGCTGATGTGCAGCATGTCGGAGGGGATGATGGCGCAGCGCACACGCATCTCAGGGTTGTTCTCGTCACCCAGCCACGTGCCATTGGGGTAATCCTCTGGAAAGAGAGGAGAGTCAGGGCACACCACGGCTCACAACTCAACACAGCCATGCACAGCTTGGACATCGTAAGGGACGCTCTGGGCAGCTGCCTAGAGCCGGCAACTCCTACTGCTGCAGGAAAAAGACCCTGGCAGGACAGCACATCTCCTGCTTCCAAGCTCACCTAGGGGTCCCTAATCCACCACAGACCAGCAGGAGTGACTAAGTGCACCATGCAGCTCTGTCTGCACTGGCAGTCCCTTTCTCAGGAGCTGAAGGCCTGTCCCTCAGCTAGGCACATGGAGCCCAGAGCACTTACTGCCACCCACCCACCTGAACCTCGCAGGCGGGCTCTGCCTCAGCCCCCGGGAGGCTACAACCCTTGGGAACGCCACCCAGACCCAAGCGTGAGCACAGGTGACATAAAATACCAGATTCCTCTCACAGCCTCAGCAGGGTAAAGACTTTTAAAGAAAACAATGGAAACTTCTGTTCGTTTGCATCCGGGAGGAGGCTGTGTGGCACATGTCAGGACAACTGAGGCCTGATGCCCAACCCCATGTGCAGAGGACTTGGCCCTCTCTTTGCTGTGAATCGCTAAGGCTACCAGGAACTCGGCACAACCCCAGGAGTCCCACATGGTCTGCTGCCACTCCTCGCTCCAAGGGTGGGCTGTAGGCAGACACTCCCTGGGCATGAGCACTCTCCTCTCCTGCCCACCAAATCCAGCCTCCCCCAGGGCTCTGAGCCAGCGCCTTCCAGCTCCCAAGTCTAGCGCCTCCCTCCCCTCCTCCATTGGCTCAGGATGAGGCTGAAGCTGCACGCAGGGAGCCCCTGTGGCCTACTGAGCACTCAGCCCTTGCCCTTCTTTTTTTTAATTTTTTTTGAGTTGGAGTCTCACTCTGTCGCCCAGACTGGAGTGCAGTGGCCACTCCCGGCCACCGCAGCCTGGACCTGCTGGGTTCCAGTGATCCTTCGGCCTCAGCCTTCCAAGTAGCTGGAACTACAGGTGCGTGCTACCATGCCCCGCTAATTTTTTTTATTTATTGTAGAGATGAGGTCTTGCCAAGTTGCCCAGGCGGGTCTCGAACCCGCAGGCTCAGGCAATTCACTCACCTCGGCCTCCCAAAGCGTGGGAGCCACCGAGGCTGAGCGGTCCTTGCCCTTCTCACCCAGGCTGAGCCACTGAGCCCAGCGGCCCTTGCCCTTCTCCAGTCAAGTTTTCTTCCCCATTACAGACTCTCCTGGGCCCCGTGAAATGTACCTCTGTGATTGTATGAATTCAAGGTCACTAACACCCAATGGGAATGCCGCTTTCCTGTGCTGGGCAGGTCTGCCGGAGGAGGAGAGATGGGAGGAGCAGGGCCTGGAGGCTGTGGCACTGTGGGGCCACTGGAACCTGGGCACCCACAGGGTCTCATGCTCTGTGCCCCGACCTGCACCCCTCGACCCTGGCACACCTGCACACAGTGGTGCACGCCCCAGTTTCTTGGAACCAAGTTTTCTCCTGGGTCTCCCATACCTGCCTAGCTGCCAGCTCTGACCTCCGACCATGGCCATAGCCCACCAAGAGAGACGCTGGGATGAGGGGCAATAGTGCGTGCACCAGGCCTGCCACTGCCCTGTGGACACGATTCCAGTCTTAGACTCTGCACGGCAAAAACCATGGTGAGCCCCAGACTCTGCTTCCTCAAGGGCAGCTGAGATGCATGCACCTGGAGGTCAGGGTCTAGTGTAGAAAGTACCAACAATTCCTCCACCACCGCCGCAGTATTGAACCACGGGAGGCCTTGAGGGTAGAGGAGACAGGGCTCCCTAGAAAGGAAGCTTCAACGTGGGCTGCAGCGACCTGCTGCCTGCTGGGGAGCGGCATCTGTGGACTCACCATGTCGTTCCAGCTCCCTCAGGACCAAGAAAAGGCTGTATCCCACACAAACTCTCAGACAGCAAGAGATTCTGAACTAGATCCTTCCAGAGAGGCTTGGCTTCTCTCAGCCAGACTCCTCTGTGTCACATCCCACTGGTCATTGTGAGACTAACCGAGTACAGTATGCAATGGGTTTGGTGGCCCCCAAACGGCACCATCCAGCTCGGCAACCAGGGAACTGAGGGAATGTGCACTCCTGTCTGGAGATGTAGATGTCCCCAAGCTATCCCTCCGGAGTCTAAGGGAGACCCTGTCTGGGAAACCACACTCTGTACGAGGGAGAAATGGAAATAACCACGCCCCGTGCGAGGGAGAGACACAAATAAAGTACATGGCCTTCCATGGTGGCCAGGCCGAAGGGGACTCTGTTCTCCGCCAGCGTCTCCTGGGTCAATGGTGGCTACAGTCACTCCCAGTCATCACCCTCAGACTGCATAAACGTTGTTCTGAAATGTCCTGACAGTGACCTCGGCCTCCACGCACAGAAGAGGCTCCCATACAGCAGCCGCCCTGCCTGTTCTCCCAGAGCCTGGAGCATACCTGCACCCTGTGCATATAGGTAGCTCTCCAGAACCTGGACTCTCAGATTTCATGGTGGGAAATGACCCCATCCCAATGAACATGTGGTCACTAGAGGTGCTGCTCAGGACAGCGAGGCAGGCTCTTGGCGGTCACTAAGGATAGAAACCAACCCTGACTTTTGGAATTCAAAATAAAAGATAAGAAGCATCACTTCTCAGAGATATCAGTGGTTCAGAAATGAAGAGATGGCTCTGTGAACACAGACCCAGATATGTCAGCCACTATTATACTCCATCTGTATATGAAAAACCAAATGGAAACATGATCTGAAAACAGATGGGAGAAGACTCCTGCCAGTGGCTGTCTAGAGGTCATGGTTGGAAAGCTGAAAAGACCCCAACATCCGGGTGTTAACTAATTTATCTGCAAATATTTAGGGGCAACCAAGTGGCAGATACTAGGTCTAATGTTCAGAATCTAAACCTTACTCAGTGCGACAGATGTTATGGACCCCAGCAACAGCGGGAGGACGCCCTGGCTCACAGAAGGCCAGTCATGAAGCTGCTGGAGCTTGTGGGGCTGCGGGAGGGGACAGGAGAGGGCCAGAGAGGAGGAGGGAACCACAGAGGGTGTGTGCTAAAGCAGGGCATCTCCAGGGCTAGGAAGCCATGTGCTGGTCACACCATGGGTAGAGACAGCCACAGACCCACCAGGACTGAGTGTGTCAATGGAGTCTGCGGTAACCCCAGACTGTGGGAAGGAGGTGGCCGGGAGGCTCGCAGCAGTGTCCCGCCACATTTGTATGCTTCTCCCAGAATGATGAGGCCTCCCAGATACAAGCTCTCCCAGGGCTGAATGCCACAACGCCCTTCAGATCACATCTGGGTGAGTCTTCCCTGCAAGTGTCCAGACTTGTGGAGGAAAGGGTTTTACAGCCTCAGGCATGGGGGCCAGGGTAGGGCAGAGACTTGCCTGAAGTCATGATGCTCTACAGGGTGGTGCTGTGCACCTGCAGGAGCAGAGGGTACAACCAGGTCATGGTGTCAGGACGGGTCACGGGCAGGGCTCCCTGAGACTCCAGCACCCAGGTGTGGGCTCACACCCAGGATGGCACACCTGGCCACCATCCCAGCATGCCCAGGTCGCCAGCATCAACCACAGTGCCCCACACTTCCAGCTGGGTGTGGGCTCCCTAAGCCAGTTACATGCCCTGACCAGCAAAGACCTCCCCACAGCCTGGTGTACACCCTGGGGAGAGCAAGTGGACAGATGAATCTACCCACACATGATGCACACCAAGCTCGATCAGCCCTACCAGGCTCCCAGTGCATGGGACTATGTCCTCACCCCACTGAGTGCCTGGGCAGGAAGAGTGGCCTGTCAGTGAACAGAGAGGGGGCAGCATTAACCTGTTTCAGATAACAATGAGGGGATTTCAGGCAGGAAGCTGCCAAGGAGTCACCAGCAGAGAAGATTCCAGGGGAAACAGTATGGACTTGGTCTGAAGGGGCCTAATGATCTGGGAAGGAAATGGAGCCAGCGTGCCTAGAGCCAGGAGTGTGGGGGAGGGGAGGGGGACAGGGGAGAACCAGCAGGGGAAGTCACACAGGGCGGGGGGCACGACACACAACAAAGTCTGAGTTGAGACTGAACAGAGGACACAAGTCACAGCCTACAGGGTTGTTGAGTGATCCAGGAACAGTGGGTGTCCTGTGATCATCAAACCCCATAATGATCCACTGTCATTTAACTCTCCAAGGCTCCGAGCACTGGTGCTACTTTGACTGAAACGCTGGTTAAACAGAAGGCTAGTGCATCTAGCAGTGCCAAGCATCTGTTGACTTAGGATCAGAAATCACAAACAGGCCCAATGCAAGTGGCTAGGAAGGCAGCAGAACCTCTCACCTGGGCCGTCCGATGTGAGGCCCTGATTGTACCTGCCTCCCGACCATCATCCACATTGGGATCATCATTCACACCAAGACTATCATTCACACAGGGGGGCTGTCATTCACACCAGAACCGTCATCCACACAGGGACCATCATCCACACTGAAGACCATCATCTGCACAGGGACCGTCACCCACATAAGGGACAGTCACTCACATAAGGGACCATCATCTGCACTGAGGAACGTTACCTGCACAGGGGTTGTCATCTACATCGAGACTGTAACCCACATAGGAAACCATCCTCCACATTAGGACCTTCAACTGCACAGGAATGGTCATTCGCACAGGGACCATCATCTGCACTGAGAACCATCATCCACACTGAGGCCCACACCCACATAGGGGACCATCATCCACACCAGAACCATCGTCTACACAGGAATGGTCACCTGCAAGGGGACTGTCATCCGCACGGGGACCGTCATCCATGCTGAGAGCATCACCCACATAGAGAACCATCATCTACACCAGGTCCATCATCCACACTGCCTATCAGTCAGGCACACTGGGATGAGGGACGGTGGAGAACAGTGCGGTGAGCTCTCTGCTTTACCTGCTGAAGGCCGCTGCAGTCTTTCTCAGAGCAAGGCACGGGGACTCCCTTAGCCGAGCTC